GAGGAGGAGGAGGAGGAGGAGGAGGAGGAGGAGGAGGAGGAGGAGGAGGCCATTCTGGGCCATTTTTATGTTCGGCCCCCTGGCGCCCTGCCGGCAGGCTAAACCAGGTGCCGTCTGCGCGGCTGTCAGGCCGCGCAGCCGTCGCCGAAGGGCGACTCCCTGCCCGCCGCCACGCGCGCCCGCGCCCAGCGAGCCGCGGCGGCGGGCGAGGCGAAGCCGTGGAGCTCGGCCGCCTGCCAGGCGTCCGCCGCGACGGGCCTCAGCCCCCAGCGCGGCGGCCGCCCTGCACCAGCGGGAACGCCTGCGCCGTCCTCTTCGCCTGCGCCGTCGCGGAGCACCGCCGCGAGCCGCGTCTGCTCCTCCTCCGTGGGCGGCTGCGGAGCCGAGAGCCTGGCCTTGCTCTTGGGCTCCTGGAGGCGCATCAGGAGCCGCCGCGCCTCCGCCGCCCTCTCACCAGGGGCTGGCCGCCCCTTGCAGCTGCCCAGCAAGCCTGTCCCAGCGGGAGGGGGCCGCTTCCAGAAGCGGCAACCGCACTTCATGCACCAGGCCACGGCCCCATCACCGTTCTCGAGGCGCGAGACGACGATGCAGTGCCCGCGCACCTCCCGCGCCACTCCAGCTCCTGCTATCGCGGCCTTCAGCTCGGGAGCGGCCGCAGCCGCCTCCGCCGGCTCGTCAGCCGCGGCCCCAGCGGCAGCGGCGGGCGCCTGGCCGAGCTCCTCTCCAGCAGCAGCCCCAGCAGCGGCGCCAGGCGCCAGGCGCCTGGCCGAGCTCGAGGTCGGCCTCGAGCGCCAGCGCCGCCACCTCCGCGTCGGCCTGCTCCGCCGCGTCCAGCGCCTCCTGCGGGATGTCGTTGACGAGGTCGGCCGTGCCCACGACCCCGTCTGAGTCCAGCTGCTCTCGGTCCACCATGGTGGCGGCCAGCTCGCCAACCCAGCGCCCGAGCTCCTCCACGCGCCAGGCACACGCCTGGAGGAACCAGACCAGCTCCTCGTCGATCGGCCACAGGGCAGCGCCTCGCTTGGCCCACAGGTCAGCTGCCCTGTTGCCCCTGATCAGGAGCTCATCCTCCCAAGGTGGTAGCTGCAGAGAGCACCTTGTGCGCCTTGACCTTAAGCACCGTGGCCGTCGGGCCTGGCCCTGCCCACCACTCCTGCCACAGGTGGCGGCGCGCCTGTAGTGGCGCGAAGGCCTTGCCCTGCGAGAGCGCCAAGCCGACCGTGCCCGCGCAGTCGCAGAAGACCTCGAGGCCCGAGCCGTCGGCCGACGGCAGCCAGAACTGAGCCAGCATGTGGAACGCGTAGTCCTCGCCGTCCCTGGCCTCCTGCTTGGGCCCGTACGTCCGCGGGACGATGCCGTGCATCCCGCCGATGACCTTCCCGCTGAGGCCGATCTGCACCACCGCCCAGCCTGCACGGCGGGCCCCGCGCAGCGCAGGAAACCTGGCGCTGCCGTCCACGAAGACCCTGCCCGCGAACTTCGAGCCAGGCGGCACGCCAAACCAACGCGGGGCCGCAAGCGGGGAAGGCCAGGGCAGGGTTGGGGCACAGCGCACGCGCGAAGAGCTCCGCCGCAGCGTCCCCGCGCTGCGCCACCCGCCGCGCCCCCTCCAGCAGCTCATGCGAGCACGCGTCCCGCCGCAGCATCTGCCAGGCCTCGCACTCGAAGGCCCTGTGCGTGCCACAGCGTGCCACGGCCTCCGCAGAGGCGGCATAGGCCGTCGCGCGCCTTGCCCTCCTTCCAGAGGCGCTCCTGCGGCCAGTGGGAGCCGCCGAGGACCGCTGCGAGCGCTCGCCTGTGGCGGGCCTGCCAGTGCGGCAGCGGTGGCGCGGGCTCCTGGCGGCCTGCGCCCTCAGCGGCCTCGGCGTCGGCCTGCCCCTCGGGGCGGCGGCGCGCGTGGAGGAGGCGCTCCAGCCCCTTCCAGTGCACAGGCCATGACCAGGCGCCAGGCCCGCGCAGCCGCTTCAGCGCAAGCACGTCCGAGGCCAGCATCGCCGACTCACGCACCACCTGCACCAGCATGCCAGGCGAGTAGAACTCCAGCGAGAGGACACGCTCCTGCCAGTCAATGAGGAGGAGGAGGAGGAGGAGGAGGAGGAGAAGGAGGAGGAGGAGGAGGAGGAGGAGGAGAGGAGGAGGAGGAGAGGAGAGGAGGAGGGGGGGGGGCTCCGAAGGCGGCGAGCAAGCGGACGGAGAGAGAGCCCGAGGGCCGAGGACGGCACGCCGGGAGGAAGAGGAGCCGAGGACGTCGCAGGCGGCAGTGCGAGGCAGTGCAAGCTCCTCCTCCCCCTCCTCCTCCTCCTCCTCCTCCTCCTCCTCCTCCTCCTCCTCCTCCTCCCTCCTCCTCCCTCCTCCTCCTCCTCCTCCTCCTCCTCCTCCTCCTCCTCCTCCTCCCCCCCCTCCTCCTCCGCCTCCTCCTCCTCCTCCGCCTCCTCCTCCTCCTCCTCCTCCTCCAGGACGTCGCAGGCGGCAGTGCCAGGCAGTGCAGGCGGCTGCTCGGAAGGGGCAAAAAGGAAGGGAGCAAAGAACGCAAAACAATGAATCGCTTGTTTTAGGGGGAAAACAAACCTGCCTCGCTTTTGACCACCCTCGCTTCCAAGAGATACCAAACGATGCCAAATCGCGGCCTGTACTGGTCAGGCCGCTTGACGAGGAGGCGCGTGGTATGGCTCGGTTTTGCCTGAAAGCGAAAGCGGGGTAGGTAATTCACGCTCTGATGTTTGGCGTTGTGAGGTTTCTTGCTGGTGCCTCAAGCCGCCAAAGGATTGCCACCGCGCCGAGTTAAAAAACGGTGCAGACACGCCCTGGGCATATGTATGTATATATATATATATGAATAGCCATGGTAGCACGTCGTCCCTCGCTCGAACGGCGACCGACTGGGGCCAACTCTGGTGCCCCGTGACAACTTGCGAAAGCCAACTCAAAACTCACGCTGCAGCAACATATGGGCACCCGACCATCACGTCCACGTCAGAAGTCTCGGGGGAAGGGAACTATTTGCCATTGCGCGCAGGCCCACTGCCCTCATGAACAACACATTCAAGCATGCGCGTTGCGGGTGCACGCACGCAACTAATAAGTACAATGCTGACGAGAGTAGCCGATATGTTGCGCATATGTGTGCAACGGATGGTGGGCCTGTCGCCTGATTAGCCGATGTGCGCTTGCACGTGTTCCGCCGCACCTCGCACACCATGCGTACGCCGCGCAGGTGGTTCACGAGCCGCGGTTGGCGCACCTGGAGCGCGTGGCGCCCTGGGACCACGTGGCGCACCTGACACGATTGGAACCCTGGGTCATCCAGGCCTCGGAAAAAACGCGAAAACGCATGCCACATTCATCGGAAAACGCCTCCCCCTCCCGCCCATGTTCAAAGTTGGGGGGAGCGGGGCAGTGTCCACTACCCATCGGTCGGAAGAGATAGGTAGAAACATGAAGTAGGAAGGCGTTGAAAGTAGATTGGGTTTCGCCTGCCCCCTGAGGAAGACGGAAAAGGTGAAGCCACTCGATCATGGAAGTAGGAAGGCGCTTGACGTAGATTGGAATCTGGGGATCCAGAAGACCTACTCTCAATGACCGAGGGGTAACTCTTTCCCCCTACCGTCTGGCGCACTGGGCGCGCGCGTGGCGCACCTGGTACGTGGCGCGCACTCTCGCCAGCGAGGCGCACCTGGTGTGCCCCTGCCGGTGCCAGGGTCGCGGTGCACCAGACGGCGGCCCCTGCCTGGTGTGCAGCGGAGGCCAGTCCACAAGAGAACTTCCATAAGAAACCCAACCCCGAGACCCCAAGGCGCCCATGGATTCTTGGCGTGGGAACGTCCCGCTTTCCGCAGCAGAACCATCGAAGCCCAAGAAGCTCAGGGCACCCTGGAGGCAAGCGGGATGTTTCTTGGCATGGGCCTACTGCATTCGCACCCGCTGCACAACTGAGCGACGATCACAACAAAGGGTCTTACGCGAAGGCAGCGAGCTCTGGGCTGAGAGCCCCTCGGCTGCTCCAGTCAGACAGCTCGACACTTCCAGCAGCTGAACGGGCGGATGATGGTTCCTTCTCAAGATCGTGCTCTCGCCAGAGCTCCGCCAATGTTTACCAACTGCGTTGATTGAGGGCGAATACCTCTCAAGCGCTAGCAATTCGTAAAACTTCGCAGCCGAATGCCACGCTGAATCGTTGACACCAACGTCGACCCACCCAGGGCTTTCACCATGCAAGTCCATAGTGCCCTGACACTTCCAATGGTTGCTCGCCGTAGTGGAAGCTCGCGCTGACCGGCGAAAACGGTCTTGAGACAGGATGATGCGTTGCAGCAGATATGGTAAATGCCGGTTTCACTCTGGGCCGCTCATATCCGCAGCGCCGTGATATTTCACTGCAACGCCGACCCTGTGACCGCCATTATTTGTGGACTGCTCTCTGATGTTCCTGGGGCTCGGGAGGCCACCTCCGAAGTGAAAAGCTGATGAAAACTGGCCGCCGTGACTTTTGCCGCAAAGCATGCAGCACAAGGAACCCATCCCCCTCATCCTCCGCCTCCTCCTGCGCCTGCGCGACCAGCCTTCCAGGAGGACGGAGGAGGATGAGGACAGAGGACGGAGGCCAGGGGAACAGCCCCGGGGGAGGAGGAGGAGCAGGAGGAGTAGGAGGAGGAGGAGGAGGAGGAGGAGGAGGAGGAGGAGGAGAAGAAGTTCAAGCATCACAGGTGGCCTTCAGAAGGCGTGCCCCGAATCAGACCTGGCTGTGTGGATCATCAGGACTTGAAGGGGAAGCGAAGCGAAGCGAAGGAGGAGAAGAAGGAGGAGGAGGAGGATAAGAAGGTAAAGAGGGAGGAGGACCAGTCCGCCTCCTCCTCCTCCCCCTCCTCCTCCGCCTCCGCCTCCCCCTTCGCCTCCTCCTCCTCCTCCTCCTCCTCCACCTCCTCCTCGTGCACGGGTGGTCGCTTTGCCGCCTGCGCGACCGGCCATTCAGTCGCACTGCAGTGCCGGCCTCCGCGCCTCTCCTGGCGCCCGCTCGAGCGCCCGGTCCAGCGCCGCTTGCCAGATGAGGGGCGGCCCTTCCTGGGCGCACCGGTGGCGGAGGGGTAGACCCAGGTCCCCTCGAGCTGTGAACAAAAACAGCGACGGGAAGCTTTTCGCTATTCTCTGCCTCTGGGGACCTTTCCCGTGCCCCGGGGCCGTCAAGAGAAGACTCAGGATGAAGAACCACTCCTGGGGGAGGGGTCCAGACCTCTGGGGGTCGACGTTGTGAAAAAATCATGACGTCGGGGGTCTTGGGAGGCGGGGGGGAGGGGAGGAGGGGCCCTGGGGAGGGGAGGGGAGGAAAAGGGGGACAGACGCAATGAGGAGTATGAAGCATGATACGTAGGGAGCAGGAGACGCCCGATTGGAGGACGGGGATGGGGGTGGGACGGAGGGGAGTGAGCGGGAGGCTTAGTGATTGGAGAGTCATCTGCGACGTGGCGGAGGAGAGGACACTGACGACTGGGGTCAGGCGGAGGAGGAAGACGAAGGAAATGCACTGGGAGAAGGATAACTGAAGGGAAAGGGGGAGGGACGATGGCGAGGAATATAGGGAAGGACGGGGCAAGCGTCGTGATGAGCCCCCGAAGTAGATCAGTCGCAGCCCTTGCGGCCCGAGCTACCTTGAAGCATCCGTAGTAAGAAAACACTCAACGGTGGCAGGCCTGTTCAGTGTTACCTTCGGTCCCGGGACACCCGAATAGACGCCCACACTGAGAGCTTCGGCTGCAAGCGTCTGAGGCCCACTGTGCCATCCAGGGTTTCAGCAAGGCCCACCGCAATGCAGGCGAAACGAGAAAATGAAGGTCAACGCCGCGAGTCGAAGTCAATCGAGTTGCCTGGGGAAGAGGGAGGGAACTACCTAGCGCGCACACACGTGTTCGGGAAGAAACTTCGCTGGTCAGAGTTAGCGAAGGGCAAGCTGAGGAAGACACACTTTCGGCAACACACTTCCCAGCGACATGGCCAACTAACAACACATCGGGACTTGGTCGTCAGGGCTGGAACAACGCAAAAAGGAAACCGACCAGGGCTGGAAATGACTACCTACCAGACCATCCCAACCAGTTCGGGTTGGGAGGGGATAAAGGGTTCCACGTGTGTTTTTTCTACGTGTCCCGACCGCCCCCCCTCTGGACATCGAGGGTAAATGTGAGCCTTCGGGTTGGGTTGGGGTGGCTTGGTGGGTGGTGCGGCAAGGGTGAGAGGGCTGGCCCTGGCCGCGTTATCCAGCTTCCCTGTGATCGATGACGGAACCAGGAGAGCGCCCACAGCAGGCTGGGGCATGTCGGAAACTTTAACCTACACATTGCCAGTGGCGGGCTGTTTTTCAATCCCAAGACCTTTTTGAGGGTCGAGGACGACGCTGGGGTGGTGTGGTGTATACTTTCTTCCCCGATGCTCCGAAGAAACAGTGAAACATGTATACACCAGGGCCCCGTATGCACCAGGATCCGCGCTCCTGTGCGAATGTCAGCTCAGGGTCGGAAAGAGCGTCGGTGTGTGTAGAGAGTTCGATGCCCCAACACGGGAGCCCTGCATTTCCACCGGCCGACGGGCCAGCACCCCCGGAGGAGTCCACGGTCCTCCTTTTGCGCCACCGGTGCAACGTGCGCCCGCGGTGCATGCGCTCGACCCTTTGGCGGCTGTCGCGGGTGGCACGCTCCGACCGCGAAGAGGTGCCTCGGGCCCCCGGCAGGAGATCGGGCAGGTCTTCCTGGAGGCGGGCTTTCGAGGAACACGCAAACGAATCACCAGAAACAAGAATCGAAAGAGCAGGAGCAATCGACCCCAGGCTACTTGCTCACTATTCTTGAATACTCCTCCTGTAGAGAAACATGCCCGACTTTACACTAGCATTCACTTCTGCATTCTTGCGACGTTGAGAGGCAGTGTCTTTCTCTTGGTCCTGCTTGGACTTAGACTGACTGTCTATGATTGTTGTTGTTGTTGTTTCTCGCCTGCCACTCCTGCAAGCAAGGAGTCGCCGTGACTGCGGCGGCAAGATCAGGAGCCCTCGACCGCAGAACGACTTGCCGAGGAGATCGTGAGGAAAATACTCTCTGGGGCCTGGCCAACTGTCACAAGTCTCCGCTAGGACCCCAGAGAAACCAAGCATCTTGAGCCAAAATGGCTACGGAGGAGGCAGCTGAAGAGGAGACGGGGGACGAGGCTCAAGGGGAAGTGCGAAGCATGACGAGGCGGCGGAGGCGGGGGCGAAGATGCGGAGAAGACGGGAGGACGAGCATGCGAGGAACAGCACGAGCGAGCGCGGCAGAGCAGGAGCAGCCTCGAGGCCGGGCAGAGGCGGGCGCGGTCCTCCCACTTGAGGCAGCAGGCGCCCATCTCACAGTATTCTCCGAAGACCACCTGGGCCAGGCAGCGGGCCGGGGCCCAAATGGAACAGCACACCGGACACCCCCCGAGCCCCGGGGGTCTCCGAGGAGGCGGGCGACGAGAGAGAGAGAGAGAGGAAGGGCGAGAGAGGGCCATCGGCACGGGGCGCGTGTTCTCTCAGCCTGCTCCCCTCCTCCTGCTTTTGCCCTCCTCTGCGCCCTCTTTTCCCCAAGCCTCCCTCCTCCTTCCCACCTCCCCCAGTGCCGTGCTCCGGCGGCCCCCCCTCGCTCCCCTCCTCTGCCTCTCCTTGTGCTCCCCTCCTCCTCCTCCTCCTCCCCGTCCTCCTCCTCCTCCTCCTCCTCCTTCCTCCTCCTCCTCCTCCTCCTCCTCCTCCTCCTCCTCCTCCTCCTTCCTACCTCCTCTCCAGTGCCTCCTGCAGGAGGTCACGAGTGAGCTATGGGAGACTGGGAGCAGACGGAGGAGGACGGTAAGGGGGGGCAAGCTGAGAAGGGAGGGGGAGGGGGGAGGAGGAGGAGGAGGAGGAGGAGGAGGAGGAGGAGGAGGAGGAGGAGGAGGAGGAGGAGGAGGAGGAGCAGGAGCGTCGCGTGCATCGCGGGGGGGAGGGGAGAGAAGCAGGAGCAGGGGGCGGGGAGAGAAGCAGACAAGGAAGGGAGGCAGAGAGGGTACAGATGGCGGGCACGCTGAGCGTTCCCGAACACCAGGTCGGAAGGACTCCCGAGCGGTCAGCCAGCTGACCGTACGCATCACGGAGCTTCCCCCGACCTCCCGCGCTCGCAACAGGGACCCTTCAAGACCTAAACTGGTCCGCGCTCCGACGACTCGACCACAAACCCCCAACGTCATGATTCCCCAATCAGTGCTTGCACTGAAGGGGTCCTGGCGGATATTCCCCAATCAGAGCTTGCTCAGAACGCCCGATATGGGTACAGAAAAAATGGTCACAATGCCCAACAACACATGTTGTCCCAAACCAAGAGCGGCCGCCTGTAGGCAGGCGGCCTTCTGTTTCGAATGGACACAGGCCGCGGCGGCGTGGACAGCGAGTCCTGTTCAAAATGAACAAGAACTGCTGTTGGGCATTGTACTCGTTCTTTCCGTACCCATTTTCTTCGTGCCGACTTGCACTGAAGAGGTCTTAGCGGATATTGAAAGATTTGGCGATAAAGATTCTGCCGATTTTGGTAGCCAGCTGGGTTCCCAGGTTTTCGGTTCCGGGTTTCCGGGTTCCCGGTTCACGGGTTCCGGGCCGATTTCGGTGGGTTCCAGTTTCCAGGGTTACCGGGTTCCTCGTCGATCTCCTCATTGATCCCTGTATCGATCCCACGATTCTTGTCGATCTCATGATCGATCTCACTACTCATCTCACTCAATCGATCCCACTATCGATTTCATCAATCCATCCACTTTTTATCTTGAATAAATGAAAGATTTGGCGAACATTTCCCGCCGATTTTGGTAGCCGGCTAATGGTTCCGCGGGCCGATTTCGGTGGGTTCCAGGTTCCCGGGTTCCCTGTCAATCTCCTCATTGATCTCTGTATCGATCCCACGATTCATTGTCGATTTCATGATCGATCTCACTACTCATCTCACTCAATCGATCTCACCATCGATCTCATCAAACCATCCACTGAGTGGGGTTTTTCTCTGGCGTGTTTTTTTCATTGCGTCGACCCTCAGAGGTTCCGACCCATTCCCCTGGAGCTGACGGTCCCGAGGCCCGGTGAGAGCCTCCAGAGGCCGAAAGCGGCGAAAACCCTCCCGTCCTGATTATGTCATCACTCGAGGGGGGTCCGGGGCTGCAGTCCATCCCCCCAAACAAGCCCGACCAGAGTCCTGCCCTGAAGCCCAAAGCCTGTGCGTGCCTGGGCTGCCCGAGGGGCGCGCCTGGGCTCGCCCAGGTCCGAGGCGCTTCAGCATGAAGTCCAGGCGGACCTCGTGAGGGCGAGGGGCAAGGATAGTCGGCGGTGGAGAAACCTCCCTTTAGCAAACTGAAAACAACCTAGGACCGAAACCGACGGACCTGCACCCGCAACAATGACGGCCGCGACGCCCTCTCGCGAACCAGAAACGGCCAATTCCCTCATCGACGTGTCAGGGTAGGAGGTCTCTCAACCTCCGAGATAGGGGGGGATGGGCTCAGGGAGGCACATCGAGCTGGAATCGGCGACACATCGCCGACACGTAGGCATAGGGGGGGGCACACCGATCCGGAATCGGCATAACATCGCCGATAGATCGGCGATAGGCCCCCGACAGTGAATCCACAAGTTCCTGGGCCGACTGGGTCTATCGGGCCACCATCGGCGATCAATGGGCAATTGGGGGTCGATGCATCATCCCCTATGCAGATCTCCCCCCCTATCGTTGCCCCTGAGAGGGGAGGGGCGGGAGGTGGAATAATACAGACGAGGAGGCTGAAGGAGCTGCCAACCTCACCAGTCCCTGCCACCACCACCACCACCACCTTCATCGACGCGCTCGTCCTCACTTCACCTGGACCCGAGAGGACGAGCACAGAAGAGTTCCCAGGGAATAGCGTAGAGGCAGTGACTGGGATGAGGACGCGGAGGAGGAGCAGGGAGAGGACAAGCAGGAGGAAGCAAACGGAAGGATAAAAAAGGAGGCCAGTGGAGGTGGAGGAGGGAGGGGGACTCTGCACGACCTGGCCATTCCATCACGCCGCTCTTGGCAGGCGATGCGCGATTCAAATCGGCATCACGCTGCGGCACAGCTAAGAGTTATGTTGTTCCAATCGTGCTTAAGGACAGCATCCCAGAAATAAGTCCGAGCCCCCATAAGAAAGTATCGAAACGGTGTCGAACGAGTATCGCCTCCCATGGCCTGACATGTGAAAACCACCGGATTCGGTGCTTCCTTGGTGCTCGAAATTCTTTCTGGCGGTCAAAGCTAAAGTAGGTTGGAACATCACATGCGGGCAATACTTCTATCCATATCCAGTGCGTCTTGGACTTTCTTGGAAGGGGCTCCGCAAGGCCGAGGCGCACCGGATATTGATAACATCTAGCCGTTTGAGGCCAGATGTTATTCCATATCCAATGCACCTCATATTTTATTGGGACGAGAGGGGAGTCCGAAACTCCAAGACGCAGTAGATGTGGATACGTCGGCGGTGGACAAACCTCCCTTTAATAACCTCCCTTTCGTGAATATGGCGTAAGACCGAAACCGACGGACCTCGACCCGCGAAAATGGCGGCAGCGACGCCCTCTCGCGAACCGAAAACGGCCAATTCGCTAATCGACGTGTCAGGGTATATAAAAGGTCTATCAACCTCCGAGTATAGACATTGCCCGCATCAGAAGCCAAGAGGTGCGCGGAGGGCGCGAAGCGCGGGGCAGCGCAGCGGCACCCTGCCGCCCAACGGCAGGCTGCCCCCCGAGACGCGCCCGCGGAGCGGGCGGGGCCTCGGCAGGCTGCCTCGTGAGCAGGGCGCCGCTCGCACTGGCGACCTTCCCGATGCACCGTCGGACCCAGGCCAGAAGCACAGCCTCTAAGAACATGAGGCTAGGGGACCAGGGGAACGAAGAATGACACGAACATAAAAACTCGGAGGTCCGCGCGGATTCCTGGGTCCTCCTGGCGGCGCCTCCAGCGCCGCCCCTGGCGCGCTCCGCGCGCCAGGGAGGGAGGTCCAGCGCCGATCCGAGGAATCCGCGCGGACCTCCGAGTTTTTATGTCATTCTTCGTTCCCTAGAGACTCTCAGTCGGCCAGAACAAACAGAACATCCAAGGGTACTCTCCCCAGAATGCACGAGAACACCCAACAGACATTTGTTTTACCCATCGAAGAAGCCCAGTGGCAAAGGGAGGCGGCCGGGGGGAGGGAGCGAGGGAGGGGCCGGGGTGGCGGGGAGGACGCGGCAAGCACGCAGCCCGCCCGAGCTGCGAATTAGTCTGGTGGCCCTGGACGCTGCACTAGGCGCGCCTGCAGCGCCTCGCGCGAGGCGGCCTCGCGCCCGCCAGCCCAGACGACGGGCAGAATGAGCAGGGCTGCCGCCCTAGGCGGCAGCGCGGCGGCCCAGCCCGCGCAGGGCGACGCCGCCAGCCGCGGCCACGTTGGCGCTGACGCCCCGCAGCGCACGCAGGCCACCCCACCTGGGCCTTGTGCAGCAGCGTGCGGCAACCACGCTCGCCCGGCGAACAGGGCAGCACACCGAGCCCTCCCGTCGCCGCCGCACGCTTGGCCCAGCGGCGCCAGCACGGCAGCGGCGGGGGGGGCCCTGCGGCGACCCGCCTGGCTGCGCACCGAGCACGCCCCGCCGGCCGCGGCGCCGGCGCAGTGGCATACGGGCCCGCGGGGCCACGCCCGCGCTGCTGTGGTTGACCTTCAGGGCGGCCAGCTCCACCTCAGCCAGCATGCGCTGCGCGATGCCCAGTGCGCGTAGACGGTTGCCCCGCCCCGTGACCAGAGCTGCCGGCGGGAGCCGCGAGCGCGCGGCGACGCCCGCGAGCTGGTCAGCAGCCGCGTTGCCAAAGCGGTCGTCGTCGGCCACGCCGCGGGCCCGGGCGCTGGCCGCGTCCAGGTGCCCTTTGACCCACCGCGCGACGAGGATCCCATGCAGGCAGTTTGTTTTCTACAAGAACGCCACGGAGACGGAGACAGTGAGACGACCGGAGCCGGCAAAGAGCGCCGCCGGCGCGCCGGGCTCCATGCGGCACTTGCGCGCCGCCCGCAAGGGTGCCCATGCGTGCACGGGGACGACTGGATCAGACTCTGGCATGGCCGCCGCCCTGCGAGAAGGGATCCCGTGCAGGCAGGGTACCAGGGTACCCTCCCCGAGCCGACCTCGATCTCATGCCTCGGTTCGACTGCATACCGTGTGCCCCGCCCCTCCGGCCTTCGTCAGGAGGGCTCGGCCCAGTGACTCCCCTGCCTCGAGGCCCCCCTGGAGGCCATCCAGGAGGTCCGGCAGGGGCCCCGCGGGGCCCCGCCGCCTGGGCGCTCACCAGGGCGAGGACGGAGAAAGGCGAGGAGAGCGAACAAAAAGGTCGGAGCGCGACGCTTATCTTGTCCGTGCGCCGGGCTTGGGAAGATGGACAGCGCGCGCATCAGAATGCGGCGTCACAGGTTAGGCAAGGTGAGAGGAATCATGAGGCAACATACGTTCCCCATTACCTTGCATTTGGTATGAACCGTGCCGGACTCAGTGGCATCAGGGCCACTAGGACGCGCGCGATGCGTGTCAGTATTGTTTCTGCGTGTGGGCAACAACGAGATCAGGGATGCCTCCTGTTTCTTGTCGGCGAAGAAAAAGGAAGATGATGGGAAACATCCCGCTCTCCACAAAGGACACGCTATCCCTCCAACGCGACAAAATGGATACATGACGCAACATTTACCTCTGCCTTCAAATTGTAGCCGCGTGAAAGGCAAGAGGAGGAGGCAGGAACGGCAACGGCAACTGCGACAACAAATGGGACTCGTGCGTGCGCAGACCCGCCAAGGCGAACGGCACTCGAACAGGAACCCTCGCGAGCACACGGTACGGGAAGAATGGGAGGGCAGATGGGGCGGAGGGAGGCCGAGGAGAGCGAGACACTGAGAACGCAGCACCGGCAGAACTGTTGAGGTATCCTTATGGAATATGCGACACCCTGCAGCAGAAAGTGGCACAAGCGAACGCAGAAATCCAGGAGGACCGAGAGCTCAGAATAGAGATGCCTTCCATGCCGACACGCACTCATGCGAACCATGGTGTTGATACAAGGGCTGCTCGATGGCAGCAAACGCCCGAATACGGGGCAGAACAGCTGACAGTGGCCTCTAGAGTCAGTGTGCTCCGGAAATCGAAACCAATAAGCTGCGTGATCATACAGTCGGGCAACGCGTTCCAAGCTCCCCCACGACCCAAACCATCTTGTCACGCTCAGTACGCAGAAATTCTCGGTGGCACCATGGACAATCTTCCTGACCAATTTCATGTGTAGCCTCTTGATGACGGGCCGGCGCTTCCTCTGACACGAAGGGGGCGTGCGAAGATGACCGCCACCGTGAGCAACGTACTACAGCATAGGAACACAACAACACAAGCACTGCATGAAAACACACACGGTCGATACGACAACTGTTTCGCACTCTGAAATCCAGGCGAGCCGAGAATCGAATCGATAAGTCGAATCGGCGATCGAAACGAAATGGATGGGCAGAAATCGGCAACCGAATCGGAAAAGTCGCATCGGCAGAAATCGGCAGGCTAGTCTGCCTCCAATAAGAAATCGGAGCCCAAATCGGAACCCCAAGTCGAATCGCATCCGAACCGGAAGTGATTGACATCGAATCGAATCGAATCGAATGGGAGGAATCGAAACGAATCCTGGAAATCACGGCACGGCACGACATGACAACTTTCCGCACTCCAGGCTAGAGGCCTCCTAGATGGGGTCGTAGTGAGTGGGGTCGGAGGATCGCGCAGCATCGCGATACATCGGCGATGCATCGGCGATGCACTGGCGATGCATTGTCGACGTCGGCGATATATTGGCGACGTCGCCGTGAAGCAACTCGGGCTGCACATCGAGCCCATCAGCGATGCATCGGTGATGCGACGCGATCCTCCGACCCGGACCCCATCAACTCCGACCCCACCTAGGAGGCCTAGACTCCCGTGGCCTGTCCCTGGTTCCACCAGCCCTGTGGACCTGGGGCGCTGGAGGTGCCAGCTGGTCACATGCAACCCCCCCTTCTTAGGAGGCAACTCCTGGCAGGTCTTCGCTGGACCGATGAAGGGTGCCTACGCCCGATTCGAGGGCCGCTTGACCGCATTCGGCCAGATCAAGCCCGGGATGGAGCCGGCTTTGGCCAGATCCAGCCCGGGATGAAGCCGAAGTGGGGCACATGAGCTGAGTTTTTTGAGAGCCGAGGCGGCAGAGACAGGCGCGGCACGGCAGGCCGCGCCGCCCTGCGAGGCACCCGGGCGCCGCGCCCGCCACGAAGCGCGGCCCGCGGGCACACGGCCACGCCACGGCGCGCCCGGGGGCACTAAAACAGGGCTAGGATCGGGATAAATCGCTTCAGAGCGTTCCGGAGCGCTCTCAGAGCGTTCCGGAACGCTCTGGAGCGGCCGCGGCGCCCAATACATCCTCCAAACCCGCCGATTCTCAGAGATTTCGAGTTATCCCGATCCGATTTTGTCCCGATCTTCGCGTCGTTTTAGG